GGTGACGGAGGCAAGGAAAAACTTTCTTTTAAGAGACAGAAACCTAGGACAGACCCTTCGGCTCTAGGTGGGTTGTCATCTGCCTCGACGAGTTGGGGTTGGTTTAACATCAGAAAACTGCATAAAAATAACAACTGCAAGCGCTTGCTTGAGAGAGTAAAACAAAAAAATACAGATGTCAGCATAATGGGTTCCACATGAAATGAAACACACAGGAATTTATAAAGGAAACAAAAGTCAGATCGAAATAGTTGATGTGAAACCTTAAAGATCCCCTCCTGACACGTATTAGAACAGACATACAAATAGTCTGCTTATGTGTGTCTGGTATGTATTTTCCACAAGAAAGTATAATTTCCAGATTAAAATCCTTAAAACCCCATCTACTCCTTCTACCTCATTAAAAATGCCAGAATCTATGAATATGTACATTTGGTTGATTTATTTGAGTTTTCCTGCTGGACACAATATGTCTCCTACTTCACTGTAAAATCCATTCTCAATGTATGTGCACTGGTGGATTCATGTTTCTTCATAACACTATAGGACTGATTGGTGTAATCCATTACAGTTACAGAAAAAATGGTGTAATCAGAATACAGTTTCATTGAGTAAAAATTGGCATTATTTAGCAGGATTAAAATTTTTAAATACTTTTCTTCCATTTTTTCTTTTTCCATTTTCTTTTCAAAGGTTACATTCTTCTATTGTCTTATAGTATACAATTGCATCAATACGGTCTTTATTTGCATATTGGTGTTGGTGTTAAGGTAATCCAACAGTAGCAAAGTAATAAAGTTACTTTACTTTAATATTATGATACTTGGTTTAGGTAACTGACAAAATTTTCTGACAGGTAATTAGTAACTGTATTGAATTACATTTTTAAAGTAACCCTCCCATTACCGGCCTTCACTACAGCTCCAGATGGGAAGCTGTACGACGCCTATGTGAGCTTCCTCCATCCCAGCATCCTGAGTTCAGCTGAGACGGCGAGCTTCGCCCTGCAGATCCTGTCTGAGGAGCTGGAGAAACAACATGGCTACTCCCTGTTCATCAGAGGACGGGACGACTGTCCTGGAGAAGGTCAGACACATTATCCTTGGAGTCTAATGAGCCTGTTGAATACATTTCTCACTTCATAAAACATTTGCAAAGCCAATTTCATCAAAAGACTTGTCTTGTTTATCGCATTGGCTGCCATACATTACACATTTGTATTACAGCTCTCTGCAGTTGTGCATTGTGTCAAGTGGGTAGTCGTGTTCAACTAGCGGTATCACCTTTCTGGTGATCTCCACTGGTAGTCTGACACAGTGGTTCCCAAGCTTTTTCCTAAAAGAACCTTTTTCTACTAATGAGTAAACTGACGACCCCAGACTAAGTGACATATCTTATGGATATATTACATATTATATTCAGAACTATACAATGAACCCGAACCGTGAACTGTTTGTGTAAAATGAAAGATTTCACTGAATGTGGAGTAGATTATTTCCTGTTTAGGAAATGTTTTATAAAATTCTCTGTTTGTATTAAGTATTCATCATTTCATAATTTTTAGCAAACTTACCAAGCTTCTTTTTTGACAAATTCAGAGTTTTCTTGTACCTGACACAATTGTTCTACTAGACAATTATTTACAGAAGTGAAGCAAATGCTCAGATATAGGCCCGGTGTGTGTATTTTCTAAGTTTTCTGGCACTCCTTAAACTCAAGAAAGCCTCGTGACTCTCTGAAGCTTTGGCGACCCCTAGTGGGTGTCCCGACCCCCAGGTTGGAAACCACTGGTCTAACCTGACTTCGCCTGATGGTTTGTTACACATAACCATCTGGTGACCATTTTACACATATACCTCCTGCCGTGGTTTTATTAACTTTTAATTAACTTCAAATATTGTAATAGTAATTGAGATAATTTATCACAGTGAAGAATTCCTCACTGTGAATAGATGCAGATTGCTAGACTTGTCGTTCTGGAAACAATTTCCCTCTTGCTCAAAAGATTCCACAGAAAGCTGCCATTTACACCTGTGTGAAATTAACACAATAGTCTGCCTAGAAAGTGTGTGTGTGAAATTACTGGAAATCTTAAAAAACAAGTTGTTTTCAGTTTGCAGAGACAGGCTTTTACTCTACAAGGACTTGTTTCCTGTGTTTTATCTCTTGCAGCAGTGCATGATGTCGTTGCTACAAGAGTGTGCCAGTGCCGCAGACTGATAATCATCGTCTCACCTCAGGCAGTATCCTCTTTTAATGGAAAAACGGAGGAAGAACCCTTAAATGACGACCAAAACCAACTGTGTTATGAGCAGAAAATAGGCCTGCACGACGCTTTGACCCAGAACGACCCCAGAGTAATTCTAGTGGAAATTGGTGAGGACAGAGTGAACACATCACATTGTTCTCTATGCTGGATAGATTTGAGAATTAAAGTCCCTTGGGGGCTAAAAAGTAGCTTGACCTGGCAAACCAACCTAACGTTCTGGCAAGAATAAAAAAATGTTTTATGGTGCTTTAAAAGGTACTCAGAGGCACTTTGCATGGTAACAAAAACACATAAGACAATAACAGCCAGTGTGCGACCCCCCATTAACCCATGAGACCCCCTGAAAGCCTCAAAAGCAAAATTTGAAGGTGTCTCAAATTTTTGTCAAAAAATTAAAAAATACAATGATTGTAATTGTCACTAATGGTCGACTACAATGTTTTTAAGCCACCCATGTCCGTATTCAAAATTCGAAAACTTTATTCAACAAATACTGTTCTTACTTTTTTGCCAGAGTGGAGCCAGCCAGTCCTGTGCACGTATGCAAATTAGCCATGTGCGCCAAACAGAAGAAAGAAGTAACGTTGAGAAGCAGGGTGCGAACTACGGGGGAGCCAGGGGGGTCTCAGACAGCCCCCCTTAATGAGACATGAGCTCCCCTAAAAACACGATTTGTGAAATTTTGGGGGGGTCTCTAAAATATTGGCAAAATGCAGTTTTTTCCCATGCATTTCCTTTTTGTTTTTTTGTTTTTTTGTATTGTCATAATCATGCATCATGTGTAAAACTAGGCTATTTTTAATGTATGATTTGCACATGAGGGTGATTCATCACTATTTAACTTTAATAAAGATACTGGCCTGCATGCAATTCTTGTCCTCACCATTGAAGCGTGGGGGCGCTATGTCTTAAACGTCACTTTAAATCGCTTGCTGTCTTGAAGTGGTGCGCTAATGCAGGGTAGTTATTCCAGACTGCTTTTACAGTATTAAAACTACACGCCACCCACCTGATGGTGAATATCTGCCCAATTCTCAAAATTTGCATATGGAGATCTGCAGCCGCTTCCTCGAGCAATCGCGCATTCTTTGCGGACTGGTGATACAGAGCGTTCAGCTTAGAGATGAAAGTTAACATAAGGCAAGTAGGCGTACAGGCTTGTAATAATGGATGTGTTTTGAGTAAGTCCTTGCTCTGAGGACCCCCCCCCCGCCCCCCCCCCCCCCATCAATATACGTTGAGCCCCCCCGAAAGCCGCGGTAAAGTTCGCACACTGATATCAGCACATGGCGATCACATATTTAGCAGCTTTAAATTGATGGGTTTGAGTTGGGGAGAATGTCTGAGCTGTTGGGGGAAAAAGTTCCAAAAGGAGAAGGCATATTTATAATACATACAGAGTCATACTGAGGATGGTGTTAGCCATTGTCAGCCCAGCAATAGCACACAAGGCTCTTAGTCAGAAATATTTGTTACTGCATGTGTCATAAACTCATCATCATTCATTATTTAACTAGAGTGGAGCCTTTCCATTTTGTCATGTGCGTCAGTGAATGGGTGTGCACACTGCGGCTGCTGATTATTCAGTTGTTTGTTGACTTTTCTTCCTCTGGTCTGTTTTACTTGAGCTTCAAAGTCACTGAATGCTAGTATACAGTCACTTCTTGTGTGAGCTAAATGCAGAGGACAGCCAGGCAGGATAGGACAGTCCACAACACAGCACCCAGCAAGCCAATAGATGACGCAGTGCGTGCGTCACTGTTGACATGACGAGGCAGTGACCACAATCTGTGAAAGCCCCCCTCAGACCACAAAACTACAGTGATTGTGTGTTGGGCTCTGAGTGCTTTTGTTATGTCATCTTAGCCAAATTCTTTATCAGTGTTTTCCAAATAGAAGGAAAGCACTTTGACCACATACAGATGAGCCGGACATCCTGAGAACAATGACTACTGTTGAATAATATATGCTCTGTGAACGGATTCGGATTCATAAGAAAAGTTCCATTATTCTGGAAAAACACTTTCAGTGGACAGTTAGATGAGAAGATACTGTTCTCACATATGTCCGTTAGATTATAGCTTTAGTAATAGCTAGTACAGGTCCAAGGTAATGTTTACTGAATATATTCTATTCTATCCTACCAGATGGTCCGGTGGATTACAGTTGCCTGCCAGAGTCTCTGCAGTACATCAAGAGGAAACAAGGATCTCTTAATTGGAAGAAACCCGCCCTTGGAACCCACAAACTCACAACATTGTGCTCAAACAGAAACTTTTGGAAGAATCTGAGGTACCACATGCCCTCAGTGCCTGCAGGGAGAATCCAGACTATTGTCTAAACCAACTGGAAAACTTTTATTTAGTTTGACCGATTGGATTGAACATAGATGTTTTGTTTGTCACATCAGGACCTGCAGGCCTTTTTCCTGGAAACAGTTATATTTTTGACATGTGAATTTCACATTTATGAAAGTGGAAACATGGTTCAGAGAAAGAGAGAAAACAAGTTTTCAGTAGTTATATAATGATCAAAGCAAAATGTGGAGAGTACACTAAGTGCGGAGGAACACTGATGAAGATCAGCACACTCTTAGCTGTCTTTAGATTTAAAGAAATCATTATACATTCAGAGTTTCAGTCAAGCCTGCAATAACCAATTTGACCTCATTTTTGTTATAGACGTGTATATTGACAAGATTTCTGTCAATTGGTTTACAGAGTGCTAAACGTTTCCTTACCTGACGGATATAAAGCTGTATTTATATTAAATTTTTGTTGTACTATGCTACACACATGAGCATTATTGCTGATATGTGTGTGAACCTATGTTCTCTTAAAGTCTTTGTGGGTGAAATGTGTTCCTTATGTGAGAAATGATCACTGGGGTGAGACAAGGACATCTATTTGTCATTACTGTTAATGATTGTCAGTCATAGTACAGCACATTAGGGAATCAGTTGTTGTAGTAATTGGTAACACAGTCACAGTAATCCTGGATTCTGAAAAGAAAGCATTAAGTGGATTTTACTTGTCATGCTTGACACGTCTCAAATCTTATTATTTGTATGTGGCTGACTCACAAATCCAACTTTTCGGAATCCAGCCTCTGTACACTCATATGAGCCAAGAGGTGTCTGGAAACCTACCAAGTTTGCCCAGTGCCCACTGATGGGAAATTCCCTCTAAAGGCAAGCCAGAGTGCAGTGTCTCTTCCCCAGTCTCTGACATAATATTGCTTTCCACCTGCTGTGGGACTGCCCAGCTGGTAAAACTTTCTGGACGGAAACAACAGCCCAGTAGGCATCCTCATGTCAGAGGATGGGACATTGGGATGCTTATCCACTAAAAGATTCATTCTTTTAAACTGGAAGGAGCATTAACCTAAGGACTCGTGGCTGGAGGAATATCTGCATCTGCTAAACATACCCACCGTATGTTTTGTTGTTTTATTTATGCATGTAAATGTCGTCTTGTGATTTGCTTGGTATTATGTTTGAATGTTAATTTTTTTGTCTAATAATGAAATTGAACAATAAACTCTTAGTCAGAAATATATGTCACTGCATGTGTCATAAACTCATCATCATTCATTATTTAACTAACTAAGGGGAGCCTTTCCATTTTGTCATGTGCGTCAGTGAATGGGTGTGCACACTGCGGCTGCTGATTATTCAGTTGTTGTCTTTTCTTCCTCTGATCTGTTTTACTTCAGTTCAAGTGAATGTCGTCATGAGCTTCCAAGTCACTGAATGCTAGCATACAGTCACTTCTCCTAACTGCTCCTGTGGTCACAGTTTTGACTCTATACACACACTGTGCTCAGCAGGTTCTCTTATTTGGCCTAACGTCCCCCATTTAGGCGATAGGGGTTACGGTCTTGGTGCTAGAAGCATAATCATGAGACGTACACCCTAGCTAAGATCTTCATAAAATGAACTCTCTGAGGCAGGAGTCACTAAGCAGAGACCATCAACATTGCAACCTTTAATTGGAATTGGGAACACACAGCTGATTGAGAACCTAATTAATGTAGTTTGACAGACAGACAGTTTAACATATTTTTCAAGCTTTGAACTAATCTTATTATTATTATTATTATTATTATTATTATTACACACATATGAACACATATGACATTTATTCAACTTTCCGTCCCATTCATAAAAATGAGACTCTTTCCACTTTTCCAACTAGAACTCCTTCAACTACTACTGCTACAAATTAAGCCAGCATTTCAGTTTAGCAGCAGTCAGCATTGATACCCACTTCTCTAGAGTAAATGATGGAAGATGCGTGCTGTACCCAAAGTATTTCATGGTGACCGACAGCCAAGAACAGCGACTGAGCACCCAGCTTCTTTTTGTCACAGTGAGGTTGTTAGGGTCTGTACAGAGACCTATACCAAAAAGCTGTACTTTGTCTGGCAATCAGCACTTATAGCTAGCACTAATAGCAAGGAACAACTGCTATCTGTTTGTGTGCAGATTATATAAACAGGATACAACAATGTGGTCAAGGTCCAGTGTGTAACATTTAGGAGGCTCAAATGGAGTACAATATGCATAACTATGTTTTCATCAGTTGCTGGTAGGCACATTTATGAACTTGAGGCCCGGCCAGGTTAGCCATTTTCCCCTGCTTCCAGTTTGTATACTAAGCTAAGCTAACGTACCCCCAACTCTGACTGTACCACACTCACTCATAAATTGTGCAGCTTATGTGCAGCAATCGACATTTGGCAATACGGGAAAGTCATGCCACTATGTATCAGATTATTTTTGGTTTTTTTTTCTTTATATTATTTATTCTGTTGCCCCTGAGTCGAAAGTGAGTAAGGTGGGCCGGAAGACAGAGAAACAGATGCCCACAGTGTGTCATGTCCAGGAAACTTTGTTAAGTTAATTCATTCAGT